TGGGCCCCTACCCGGGCGGGCGCTTCTACGCCAAACCCCACCAGTGTGTGGCCATCCCCGCCGACCTGCGGCTCTGCCACAGCGTGGGCTACGACAAGATGGTGCTGCCCAACCTGCTGGACCATGAGACCATGGCCGAGGTGAAGCACCAGGCGAGCAGCTGGGTGCCCCTGCTCAACAAGAACTGCCACATGGGCACCCAGGTCTTCCTCTGCTCCCTCTTTGCGCCCGTCTGCCTGGACCGGCCCGTCTACCCGTGCCGCTGGCTCTGCGAGGCCGTGCGTGACTCCTGCGAGCCCGTCATGCAGTTCTTTGGCTTCTTCTGGCCTGAGATGCTCAAGTGTGACCAGTTTCCCCAGGACGATGTCTGCATTGCCATGACGGCTCCCAATGCCACCGAGGTCTCCAGGCCCAAAGGTAAGGCATGACTGGTGCTGCATTTCTGCTCCTGGCGCGTTTCTCTGAGCTGATGGGGCAGGTGTCAGCCCAGGAGGGGCTATGTGGCACTGGGCAGGTGTCTTGAGGTAGGAGGAGGCTCACCTGAATGCTGCTGCTCAGCAGCAGGTCCTTCTCCAGCCTCTGAGCACTCTGCAAGCGCTCTTGTCCCGAGGAAGACAGGACACTCTGCCAGCTCCTCACCTCTATCCCGCAGCTGAGCCCGGGGGCATATGGTGCTGGGGCACGGCAGATGCGCAGCTGCTCCGATCCCCACACAGGCACCGGGGCTGGGGTCCAGCCCCTCAGGGACCAGGGCTCTGACCCTCTGTCCTCTGGGTACTGCACTGCCCTGGCAGCAGTTTCTCTCCCAAGCCTGACTCCCGCCGGGCTCTTCTTGGCAGCAGTAGGACATGTGGTCCCCCATGGCAGGAAGCACTGCCTGACCAGAGTAAGCAGTGGCAGTAATCCTGGCAGAGTACCCCGCTTCCCAAGCAGCCCTGGGGTGAGAGGCTGGGGGGCGTGTGCACTGGAAATCCAGCCCTGCCTTCTCAGGTGGGCTGTGTGCCGGCAAGCGGCGAGAGGCTTATCAAGGAATGACTGGGGAAGGTGGATGTGGTTCTTACTTTTTTCCATTAGGTGAGGCAGGTCTGGTGCCAGACTGGATTGTTTGTGCAAGTTGCAATGAGGCTGGCTTGCTGCTGAAAACTTTTAAAATAAATAAATATCCGGGTGTGGCTTCAGCATTCTGCATTGGAGTGCTTTGAAAGGCTGGCAGGAGGGATATTTGTAGAGGGAGAAGGCAGAGGGCTATGAAAGTGTGATGCTTTCCTGCATCCAGAGCTTCATTGAGAGGGATGGACACTCTCGATTTCGGGGGGATATAGTGCAGGCACCTGGGAGGAGCTCAGGGACCAGGGAGCCACACGTGGGGCTGAGCGATTGCCGTGTCTTCTGTGCTGCGTCCGGAGCTCATCTGGAGGGAGGGTCGCCCTTTGCAGCAGCCGCTTGTGTGCGGTTACCTTTACAAAGGCTTTACGTCGTGCTCGGCTGGGAGCCCTTGCCCAGCCTGCCGGGGGTCTGTGCAGTGTTATCCTGCTTGTCCCAGTGGGACTCATCCTTCAGGGAGCCCTTCAGTTACGGGGCAGGAAGGAGGTGCATCCTGCAGCAGAGGGTGACGCTCTGGGGGTGTCCCCAGGAGCCAGTGCAGGGGCACGCAGAGGGAAGTGGGGAGCGATGGCTGGAGCAGGACGGGGCAGGCAGCCTGCCTGGGGGCAGGCAGCGGGGAACACTGAGCTTGACACCTTCTGGAGCTGTACAGGGAGCCTCTGTTGTGCCGTGGCAGTGGCATCCGGAGGCAGATGGGGGTGTGAAGCGTGTGCCCACACCAGAGGGTGAAGTTTGGCTGTTCTCGATCCCGGGGACCCAGCCTCTCCCCGGCAGTGCTGACAGCAGCGCAGCCACACTGGTTTCCCCGACGTGGCTTGCGCTTACTGATGCAATTGCTGGAGGAAGCTCTTTGTTTTGCAGGAAGGCTCTAAAATCATCTGTCCTGTGTGAACCTAGACCCTTGGTCAAGACCACAGTCGCGTCCTATGTTGCGGGTACAAAGGTCGCTTTTATTCCCCCAGCGACTTGCAGCCAAGCGTGCTCCTGGGGCAGCTGGTCTGAGCTGCTTGCTGTAGACCTGCCCCTTCGAAGGTCTGAAGCAGAGTTTGAGCTGTTTGCAGGTCATTCATTTTAGAGACACTAATGACCCAAGACCTGGGAACAGTCTTCTAGATGAGCAGCATCTGCTAAGTTTTCCCTTATGTAGTTTAACAACTAACTTTCTGATCACCTTTCAGACCTGCCTTGACAGCAGCATTGGGGTGGGACATTACCGCTTTCTTTTAGTGTTGCTAATGTGCCCATCAGCACTGTATTTGGGCACCATGAGGTCGTTTACAGGCATCCTAATGAGACTTTATTACAAGGAATTCCATCAGCTTAGGTTTGAGTCCTTTGTGAATCTATTGCTGGTCCTGTTTGGGTACAGAGAGGCCTCAATCTGCACAAGCTTTAGGGTGTATGAACTCGTTCTTCGAGTGAACTGTAAATCGGAGCTGCATGAGTATTGCAAGGAAGTATTGCAGCCACTTAGATAACCACTGGCTGTTAAACGGCTTTCCAAAACTAATGTCCCAAGCGCTTTTAAATGAGCAATTTGTTTGCAAGGATGTTTGCAGAGAGCAAGTCTTTAGAATTGTTGTGCAAATGTGAACTCTCTTCAGCATTCAATGGAAAAGTATAAACAGCCATCTTCATCTTTCAAGAGGAAAACCCTGCACGTGCTGTAGCTGAGCCCCAGCAGCTCCAGAGGTGTCAGGCTGAGCTCCCTGTGCACGTCTCACTGTCTGAGGCACTTTTCTGTGAGGGGACAAGCAGTCTTGCTGGAAAATGCTTCTTCAAGGTGAGAAGGCCAGCCCTGCCTGGTAATTTGGGCCGGTCCTGCTGCCCTTAGGTGTGCCAGCTTTCATGGCATTGACGCTGGTTTGCAGCAGAGATCTGGCGTGTGTTCTCCTACAAATAACCTTTGGTTGGTGAAGCTTCGTGTGCCACATATGCCGTGTGCTGGGACGCTCTTGCCCCAAACAGCTTAGAGTGAACAGAGCAAACTTAAAGTTAGTAGCAACCATTGCCATAACGTAAACCAACGCAGCCGTGTCCCCTGCGCTGGTGCTTCTGCCCCTGCACTGCGCAGAAGATCCGCGCGTGGCCTGCAGGGGCCAGACCAAATGAGGTGCCCAGCGCTTTGGCTGCTGATGCTGCTGCCTCCTGCGGATGAGGGGTGCCTCTGGGCAGGCGCGCTTGTGCCGCTGCGTTCGTCCCTCGCCCCTCTGTGTGCCGGGTCCTTCCCTCCGCCTGGGGCTCTGCCGTGGGAGACCCTGTCTGCACTTTGTGTGTGTTTTCGTGAGCGCCAGCTCCTGGAGCCCTTTTGGTCTCGGGCACTGGGGTGTGTTTCCTGTTGACTCAAAGAGGGTCAGAACCCAGCGGTGTCCCCCCTTTTCTCTGGGCACTAATAAGAACGAGCCCTTTCAGTATTTTTCCCCATTAACACCTTGAAATTGGAATTTGTTTCTGCCTCTCAAAGAGCTGACCTGATGAATTCCTTTCTCCTTAAGCACGGGGCGGTAAAGCCTGCAGGCCCACAGGATGCATCAGGGGAGTTGCAGATTAATATAGCATTACACATTCCTTCTCTTTCCCCTGGAGTAAGCCGGCTCCAAAGCCAGGCGTTAGAAAATGGTCAGCAGGGAAGAGCGAGCTGGAAGCAGGCTAAGGTTGTGCTTGGAGCAGAGCTGTCAACTGCAGAAGGTGGGCCCCAGCTGAACTGCAGCAGGCTAGGAGGCAGGCAGCTGTGGTGGGGCACCATAAGGTGCAATCTGTCCGGGTGCGTGCTGGCATGGCTGGGCCGCAGCAGGGACTGCCTGAGCCAGGAAGCTGGGCTGGGCTTCTTGTTGGCTTCTTCAGCCTGGCTTCTTCAGCGTGGGAAGGGGAAGGTGAGGTGCTGGGCAGCACTGTGGGCTGGAAGAGGTTGGCCGTGATGCCTCGGGAGGGGTGGGAGGGCAGGCACTTTGGGAATAGCTGTGGCTCTGTGAAACTGTTTTCCTGGGGTGCAGAGCTGTGTGGGAGCTAGTCAGGCCCCTGGCATTTGTGTTCCTGACCTTGGCGTGATGGCGTGTCCCATAGGAGAGGAGCATTTCCCTTCCCCCTCGGCCCAGGATAGTGTCCCCTGGCAGCCCTGCAGGCATGTCCCTGCTGCAGCAGGGCTGCGGGAGGCAGGGCTGGAGGATGCTCCCCACACGTGGAGCTGCCTGGCATGCGCTGTGGTGAGCAGCGGGTGCCTGCTGCCACTTGTGGGGCTGTGGAGGTCCTGCCAGCACAGAGTGGCGTGCTGGGGGCTGTACCCTGCTGCAGGGATGCACGTGTGGGCGAGGCTGCTGGTCGTGCTGTGCTGGACGGCCGGCAGTGCTCGCCCTGCCTGGGCCGTCAGCAGAGCCGCAGGGAAGCATCTTCTTCGCAGCTAGAGGAGCGTTGACGGGATGTGCCTGTGGCGTGGCTGGCAGACGCGCGCTGTGTCACTGGTGGGAAGGGGGGTGGATGTGAGGCGGGGGTCCCTGCCATCCTGGGTGTGCCAGAGCGTTTCCAGGGGCTGCTGTAGCACAGCTAGAACAAAGCCTGTGTTTTCACCAAGAAACAATGAGTCTTATTTTCCATTTTCGGGAAGGTTTATTCTTTGGTTGCCTGGAAAGCTTGTAGGGTGGATGCAGTGGTGTCTTTCACGTTGTTTGTCTGGCCCATGTAGGCTCAGCCAGTCTCCTAGTGTGCGTTTTGGCTGCTGAGGCAGATCAAAGTGCTTTGCACACTGGGATGTACGGAGATGAGCTAATGCGTGGCAGGTACCCCCTCTCATTCCTCAGGGTGGTCCCCAGCACAGTAACCAACTCTTGGCACTGCAGCAGAGACAGACGGCTGGGGCTGTCACCCTCCTGCGAGCATCCCCTCTCCCTCATCATGAGCTCATTAAATGTGCAGCCTGGATGGAAATATTCTGACTGCTGATTTTAAAAATAAAGTGTTGGGGACGTCATCACGTCCCCAAAGGCTGGCTTCTTCACTTTAAGTTAAGACAGTAGAAGTGGCAATCACAGGTCAAGGTTTTGGAAGAGGAAGTTACCCAGGTGACGGGCAGCTCTTGCAGGTACAGAGCCAGGAGTGGGACTAAGTCAGCTGTTGGTGCTGTGAGCGTTGCCTTGTCCTTGCACATTGGGGAGACTGGGAGGCCAGTTGCTCTGCGTGTGTGATTAATAAAGACATGGTGCATGACCCCAGGAATTGGCATTTGGCACAGAAGAGATTTGGGGGGGCAAGAGGGGAAGAACAAGTCACAGAAAACAAATGTCTTGCCTGAAACCACATGGGGCATCTGTGACTGAGGAGGCTTGACTCCGGTTGGCGCGGGTCGTGGCCGTGCCTCCCTCGCCAGCCATTCTGGCTCTGCACTGCTCTTGCTGGGAGACCTCTCTGTTGTTTCTGTCCAGCAATGATGCGGGTTTCACTGGCCTGGCTGAGAGCTGGAAGGGGGTGAGTTCAGGGACCAGCAGATGTTTTGCTGCAGTGCTGTCCCTGAGAATAACTCCCTTGTGTGGGAAAGAGCCCTCCGTTCTTCTGGACTGGGAACAGAGGCAGCATCTCCCAGCTCAATAAATTAATCCACCAGTAGGACAAATCTGCGTCTGTGCTGCTGGGTGGTCTCTGCTCCGGCTGGAGACAGGAACCTGGAAACAGATTTTTATTCTCTGGGTGAAGTGAACTTTCCTCCTGGGATGGATCTCAATGAAATCTCCAGGGCTGGCATTTCCCAAGAGGAGGATGTCGGCTGCCAGTGGCTGACAAGCAGAGCCGGCTCTCCTCCACTGGAGCTGTGGGGCTGCCCTGCAGGCCCACGGGGTGTAGTCAGGTCGAAAACAAAAAAGAGAAGATGTCCACTCTTAAGATCGTGCCGGAGGGGCTTCTGGAGGGGGGCGGCGCACATGAATGCTGTGCAGGTCCATCGCCAACCAGTGCCTCTCCGGGGCAGGGTGGGAGGGAGGCAGGCCAGGGGCTGGCTGTGCAGTGCTTGGGCAGCCTGTGGGGTGGTCCCCGGCACCGAGGGGAACCTGTGCTGAGGTCCTGAACTGCCCCTGCCTGGCTCTGGCACGGCTCCTGGCCCGGGCAGCCCCTCGGTGCGTGAGCTGTCCCTGGCCACCGTCCTCCTGCCATGCCAGCGTTTGGGCACTGTGTGCCCGCCTTGGCCCACCGCGGGGAGGGAACGTCAGCAGGCTGTGGGCCATGCCGCGCATCGAGTGGCTCGCCTCAGCTGAGTGTCTGGCCCTGAAAACCCCTCTCCTTGCCAGCGCTCTCTTCCCGCTCTTGGCAGCTGCCTGTCCCTGCCCGTGCCTGGCCTTGGGGCTTCTGGCAGTGCTGGAGCGGGGCTGGCAGGAGGCTGCCCATGGCCAGTGCTGCCTTGTGAGCGGACCCCTGGCAGGGTGTCGACCCATGGGGCTGGGACCTGGGACCTCGTGGCAGGGTGCCCTCCTTGAGGGCAATGGTCTGACAGGCTCTGCGGTGCCTCTTGGTTGGTTCCTCACCACCTCTTCTCTCCTCTTGCCAGGAACGACGATCTGTCCCCCTTGTGACAACGAGATGAAGTCGGAGGCCATCGTGGAGCACCTGTGTGCCAGCGAGTTTGGTAAGGAGGAGTGCTGGGGGTACGGGGAGGCTTCCCTGGGCGGCTCAGGGCAGTGTGGCTCCTGTGCGGGCTGGATCCTGGACCACTGCGTTTCCCTGCCCGCTCTGAGAGCGGTGCAGCCAGCCCTGTGGCCGATGTGGCTGTGTCGCCCTCAGGCAGCCATGGTCCTTCCTCCAGGCGAGGCGAGCATGCCTCTAGATGTCAGTGTCGGCGCGCGAAGGCGGGACGCGACTGGACATGTCCGGAACGTGTCCAGGACATGTCCGGCTCCTGCAGCCTAATGTACATGGGGCTGGGACAGCAGGGTCCTGCAGCAGTGCCTGCGCTCCGGCCTTGCCCCAGCTGCGGTGCTGAGCATCTCTCCTGCCCTGCCTGGGGAAATGCCGCACAGGACGAGGCCCCCGTGCGTGGGATCACCCACCGAAGTGGCGATGCTGCGGGCTGTGAGGCCCCGCTGCTGCCGTCAGCCCCGGCTGTGAGCCGAGAACCAGATGGTGTCGGTCTGGAGTCTGGGGATGGGGCAGAAGGGGCAGTGCCTGTTTTTTGGTGAACATGGTCGGGTTCATAACTTAACCCTGGTGTTCCCGTGCTCTTGTGTGCTTGCAGGAAAGAGGCGTAGCATGGACCCTTATTCTGCTTGCAATCATGAAGGAGCAAACCAGCTTCCTCCTTCCCCCAGATTGCTTGTATCGCTGGGTTTCTTTTTAGCAAAGTTGTGCTGCTCTTGTCAAGTCTAGGTGTAAAAACCCAAAGCCAGTCCTTGTCTAGCTAGGGCCAAGCAATGAGCTTAAAAAATGCAGAGCTACTTGAAAGCTGTGCCCTAAATATATTATGACTGAGTGGGTGAGTCAGACAATCATAGGTAAACAGAACTTAATTTTAAAAAAAAGCATCGCAGGGAAAAATATTAGCTTTCTCAGATCAAACCCAGAATTAACTGGTTTTGACATCCTTGCTGGTGTATGTAGCTGTCCCGGAAGGTTATTAAAGCATATTGAACAAGGTGTGCATTCCTCGGGGATTAGCACTTGAATGTGCCAGAGCACACTATGCAAACCCAAACCTGCTCTGCGTGCTGGCGTATTACCCTTTCTGCTGGAAATGAATTCTCAACTCTCCTGCAGATTTGGTATGCTGAAAGTCCTAAGTTCAGCACAGACTTTTTCTAACTGGGAAAAGCATCAACAGGAACACCCGTATAATGGTTTCCCAGGAATACGCATACTTGTAGCTGGGTCAGATAACGGACTCACGAATTCGGTGCCACAGCCTGGCTGGGGAGTGGGATGTGCTGTTCACCCGACTGTTGGGCTCACTTGGAGGTGGGTGAGCCGGAGTGCTCGGCTCTGCCCCGGCCAGGCGTCAGATGAGAGGTGAATAGGAGCTGCCCCTGCCCCACTGCATCTGTGGGGAGAGACTGGAGGGAGCGAGCGGCCTCTGGGACCGGCGCACCTGGTTTGGGGGTCGCAGTGATGCAGAGGCATTGCCCTGGTCCAGGGGCTCTGGGCTTGGGGGCATCTATCCCAGAGGAGGAGTGAGGGGCACTGGCTGGGTGGCAGCGGCAGCTCCGTTGTCCTGGGTCACCGCGATATGTGTTGCCTCCCCGGAGGCACGCGAGGAACAAGCCGAAGTGGCGTCCCGCTGGTGGGCAAGTGCTGGGAAGGGAAACACAAGTTTAACCGCATGCTTGTCATCAGCTCTGCCGCTAAATATCTTCCCTGTGCTCTGGGACAGTTACACAACGGGGAGCAGAGGCCAAACCAGAAGTATTCACGGCCTCCACGGAGGGGCTTGAGACATTGGCTTGCCCGCAGAGTAAGCTGGTTATTGGGAAATTGTGTGGTTCAGCATCCAGAGGATGGAAATATTTCTTAGCAGGCGGGTCCCTGGGTAGGGCTGCGGTGAGTGGCCAGATACGGTGTTACTGTGCACCGTGAGCAGCAGAGGAGCAGCAAGTAGAGGAGCTCTCAGCCCCTGTGCCTACCCCCAGTCAATCCAAAATAGCTGTGATGGCTTTCACAGAAGCCTTCCTCCTGCTGTGGTTCGGGGTGGTGGGGATGGGTCACCGGGAGGGGCTCTGCTCTGACGCAGGGGCTGAATGAAGGTGTCCCTTTCTGCTGTGTCAGGGAGCTCAGTGGTGTCACCGAGTGCCCTATGCCCCTGTCCAGGTGACAGCAGCTTGCACAAACACATCTAGATTTGAACTGGCTGTTGTGAGCTCTTGGGATCGCTTTAGTTGTAATGTCAGGTATCATAACTGCGTTGGTGCACCCACCTGACTCACCCAGATCACCATGTTTCTCCAGCTTTGTATAAAGTAGTTTGTTTTCTCTGCCAAAGCAGGGTCTGGTGGTTTTTCTGACCATTGCAAGGAATTTGGGATCATTCTTTGTTCGATGGATCAGCACAGCTCCTATGTGTCACTTTATTTTTTAAAATGTGTCAGAGCTCTTGCTGATGCTGCAGTTGCTCCCATTCCTCCTCCTTCCCACTCCTGCTTTCTCTTGTCTCAGGAAGGAGTTTTTCATTTGAAAACAAGATGACCCCCGTACTGTAGAGAAGTCCAAAGGCAGGTGAGCAGGACACAGCTGGTGTCTGTTGCATGTGAACCGTCACTCTGTCTTCACAATGGAAAGCTGTTTGTGTCTTGGATGCACTTCTGTTCCTCTGCTCCTCCCGGTCACCAGACTCAGTCGAGGTGGGAAGCTCATGCGCATGGGTTTTCAGTGGTGTAGGTTTCACGCAGCTGCATTTGGTGTTTTCTTCCTTCTGTTGCTGTGTTTTTCCTCCCCATCCGGGAGGGTCCTGGGTGCATGTAGTGTTGCCTCCAGATGTGCCCAGTCTGTAGCCAGCTGGGGAGCTGGAGCAAGGGTCTTACCTGTGCCCTACAAGGGAAGGCCATGCAGGGTGCTCCTGGGGATGTCCCAGCTGTGGTGAGCAGCCAGTGGAGGAGGCATTGACTTCATGAAGTTTTCTCAAAGCACAGTGCTTGGCCCTTGGATCTTTGTTTAGTCTTGGGGGGTTACTGTCATGGGGTGATTTCTCAAGGAGAGCTGTTTATCTGGCTCTAAAATAAACTCCCAGCCCTTCAGACTGAGGTTTCTCATGCACATCCACCAAGGTAAACACCGGCAGCTGACAGGTTACAGATACTCATCAAAGCCAGACACGTACAATAAATCTTTAAAATAACATGTGCTGCACGGGGCAGCTGTTGGTGGGTCCTGTGCTGGTTCTTCCCCCAGTAACATTACTGTGGGTTTCACTTACATCCCAGTGGCTTGTTACAGACAAGACACAAGGAGCACTTTGCCCACCACGGATGTGTGGCCATGCCAGGGTGGGAGGTGGCTGTATAAGAGCCCTGGGAGCAATGTCCATCTTGAGGACAGTGAAGGAAGAGAGCTGCATCCAGCTGCGAACACAGGAAGACTGTAAAGAAAAGGGACCTTTCTTCCCTGGCCCAGGAGAGTGCCCTGGACAAGGTGCTGGGGCTTGGAGGGGTGCCAGGAGACCACCAGCCTCGTGGGCCAGTAGGACTCTGGGCTTGCATCTGTTTGAGCAGCAGGGAATGTGAACTCCTGGGTGCTGGTTCAGGGCAGCTCTGCTCCCTGCTGCGCTGCCAGCAGCTTGGCAGCTCCTCCGAGAGCAGGATGGCTCTGGGGCGGCAGTGTGTTTTGCTGTCCACACGGCTCTGGCTGGGGCTCGCCATGCAATAGCCGTGTGGTGAGAGCGGTGTGCATGCTCCCGTACCCCCGGCAAAGCGTTCGGCACTGTCTGCCTGCTGCTGTGGCTGTCCTGCCTGTAGGCAGAGGGGACCTGGGTCGGCACTGCTGGAGGCGCTTGGAGATTAGCCACTCCTTTCTTTATTTCAACAGCATGCAGGAGCTGCCTCCTCTCTTGGGAGCACCAGCCAAGTGCCCCCAGGAAAGGGGGAACATTTTTGACCCAGCGTCTCTGTGTGCAGCTCCCAGCATTGCACCTCTTTTGCTGCTCAGTTGCTTGCCGTAGCAGCGGTCCCCTGTCCCTGCAGAACGCAGCAAGGTCCTGTTGCACCTCTGACTGAGTGTGAGTGCTGCTCCATGTCTGCCTGCCTGGGTGCCAAGGCTGGGAGCAGGCAGCAGAAGCATCACCCGTGGCTTGGAGCGGGGCTGCGGGAGTGCAGAGCAGAGGGTGTCAGTGAAGGTGCAGGGACCCCGTCCTGGGGCACAGACCAGCGTGGGGGGCTGGGCCAGGTATGTGTGGGCTAGCTGTGGTTTAGATTTTCATGCAGCTCTGGCATGCTGGGGGCAGCGATGGATGCAAGGTGAAGCATGAGATCTCCCTCCTGTGCCCCCGCAGCCGCCTCCCCCAGCCTCCCTGGGCTGCAGCCAGGGTTTGTTTCTTACTCTTCGTGCAGGCTGGGCTGGCCCTGGAGTTCATTCCTCTCTCTGTTTCTCTTGGTGATTTTATTTATTGTTTCTGCCCTTTCTCAGGGGTCTGAGGGGATCCTG